GGTGCGGGGAGCAGGAACGGGCCGTGCCGGGCTGACGAAGCGCACCACTGACTTGGTGCGAGTGGCAGGAACAGGCCGGACCGTACTGGGAACACACACCACTGGCCCTACGTGGGGATCAGGAACAGGCCGGACCGGACTGGCAACACACGCCAGTACCTCTCGCCGTGCCTCTACATCCTCCCTCCCCCTGGTGACCAGTGACTCCCGTAACCTGGCGGCCTCCTGCTGCCCCGTCGTCCACGGCGTTAGCCCCCCCTAAAAAATTTATGGGCTTCACTCCTACCCGTGGCCAAGGCCTCCATCCCTCTTGCCAGACTCGCACTCATCTCCTCCCAAGTCCATCCTCTCTCCTCGTCACGCTGCTTGATCCAGTCGAGGTGGGATCTTCTGTATTACTCTCGTGTTTTGTTGTTTTTCGAGAGTCCGCACTGTGTGCGCTATCGTCATTTTACGCACTGTGTTTATTGTGCGTAATTTGTATTTTGCCTCCCGGTTGGGTTGGCTGTTCGCCTGTTTGGTGCTGCTTTGGTTTACTAAAGTCTGTTCACGAACGCCCGTGTTTCCTGCGCTTGATTTCCACACCGCATCTACACTCAGCTACTGACACCAAGATAAAGCAAATCAGTGCGATAAAAACAACAAGACAGAGTTACATATGGGGTAAAAAAAACATAAAGTCAAAAAAATACAACAGAAAATATACAGTGTGTGCCAATGTAGCAAGTTATGGAGGTAAGGCAATAAATAGGCTATAGTGCAAAATAATTACAATTAGTATTAACACTGGAATGCTAGATGTGCAAGAGATTATGTGCAAATAGAGATACTGGGGTGCAAAAGAGCAAAATAAATAACAATATAGGGATGAGTTAGTTGGGTGGGCTAATTTCAGATGGGCTGTGTACAGGTGCAGTGATCGGTAAGGTGCTCTGACAACTGATGTTTAAAGTTAGTGAGGGAGATAATAGTCTCCAGCTTCAGAGATTTTTGCAATTCGTTCCAGTCATTGGCAGCAGAGAACTGGAAGGAATGGCGGCCAAAGGAGGTGTTGGCTTTGGGAATGACCAGTGAGATATACCTGCTGGAGCGCAGACTACGGGTGGGTGCTGCTATGGTGACCAATGAGCTAAGATAAGGCGGGGATTTGCCTAGCAGTGATTTATAGATGGCCTGGAGCCAGTGGGTTTGACGACGAACATGTAGTGAGGACCAGCCAACAAGAGCGTACAGGTCACAGTGGTGGGTAGTGTATGGGGCTTTGGAGACAAAACGGATGGCACTGTGATAGACTACATCCAATTTGCTGAGTAGAGTGTTGGAGGCTATTTTGTAAATGACATCGCCGAAGTCAAGGATCGGTAGGATAGTCAGTTTTACGAGGGCATGTTTGGCAGCATGAGTGAAGGAGGCTTTGTTGCGAAATAGGAAGCCGATTCTAGATTTAACTTTGGATTGGAGATTCTTAATGTGAGTCTGGAAGGAGAGTTTACAGTCTAACCAGACACCTAGGTATTTGTAGTTGTCCACATACTCTAGGTCAGACCCGTCGAGAGTGGTGATTCTAGTCGGGTGGGCGGGTGCCAGCAGCGTTCGATTGAAGAGCATGCATTTAGTTTTATTAGTGTTTAAGAGCAGTTGGAGGCTACTGAAGGAGTGTTGTATGGCATTGAAGCTCGTTTGGAGGTTTGTTAACACAGTGTCCAATGAAGGGCCAGATGTATACAAAATGGTGTCGTCTGCGTAGAGGTGGATCTGAGAGTCACCAGCAGCAAGAGCGACATCATTGATATACACGGAGAAAAGAGTCGGCCCAAGAATTGAACCCTGTGGCACCCCCATGAGCAGTTTGGATGAAATGACTGACTGACATGTATATGTACATTTATTTTGCACTGCTCGGTGGTGTGGTCAGCATGTTAGGGCAGTGGTTCTCAATCCTGGTCCAGGGGTGCATATTTTTGTTTTTGCCTTAGCACTACACACCTGATTAAAATCATAAACTCATCATCAGGCTTTGATTATTTGAATCAGGTGTGTAGTGCTAAGGCAAAACCCAAAATGTGCACCCCTTTGGGTCTCCAGGACCAGGATTGAGAACCACTGTGTTAGGGTGCTGCTTAATGCAACAGGGACAGCTGTGGTGTTTGCCTCGTGAGCATCAACGCCAACGGAGCAAAACTCAACTCAAATAGAAAAGGAATGTTTTAGTATTGTATTTGCTTGCCAGAGATTTCATCATTATCTATATGGCAGAGAGTTAATAACAGCTGAGACAGACCATAAGCCATTGATCTTCAAGAAGCTGTTCCTCTGTGCAGTTGACATTAGCCTTCTACATCTAGCTACTGTACATATTGAACTTCCATCCTCTCAGGCCAGGGGCACAACATTGTATGAATTATTGGTTGATCAGAATCGCCGTTATAATCATTGGCCAGTACGGAGAATTAAGTAAACCACAAGTCCAAATCCCTATCTCCATCCATGGCTAATTTAGCAAAGGGACCATTTTAGCTAGCTAGCTAGCTAGCTAGCCACCGAAGAACAACAACACAACAAGATGCAACAATTCAAGTTGTTTCTGTTAATGATGTATGCTCTCAAAGTGATTTGATAGGAGAGACGCCAAATCCAAGCTGGCTTCTCTTGACACTTTTTTTTTTCTCGCCAGGACCATTCACAGTTGAGCCCGCTCAGTTTAGCTCAACACTGATTGTTAAGGGAGTCCAAATGCTCGCTGGCTTCCCTTGCATTCAATGCTACAGGCAGCAACAATGTCATACTCGTTTGGACCAGACAGCATCAGACAGATGGCCTACACGAAGAGAGACAGAGGGGCGCTGTTTCGCTCGCTCGGATGCTTTCTCCTGTGAGATACATTCAGCCTCTTGACAATTGAAGGAAAATTACGCAAATGCACGGCACTGTGAATTAACAGGTTATAAAGAAACAACGCAATTATCACAAAACATAGGTTGTATGATGGCTTTTTTTCTTGCCTACCCAGTGATTTTACCCACGCACCGCTACTGGTGACACCCATAACCTAAGAGGGCTTCAGCAGGTTGGGTGCCACCAGTAATGACTTGAGTCTGCGCAACATCAGACTCTGTGCAGGGCTACTGTCCATCCCCTCTGTGGGCGTGTTGCACCACTGCAGTATAGCTGACCATATGTCCATACCGTCTAGCTTGGCCCTCTTGCATGAGCCTTTCACTCTCTTGACAGCTGACTCTGCCATTCCATTGGCTCGTGGATGGTGAGGGGAGGAGGTGACGAGTGAATCCACACTCTGCAATTGTTATAAATCTGGCTTAATCATAGCACCCCCCATTCTCCATGATTACACAGTCTGTTTGTCCATGACTGGCAAACTGGACTTTGCATCGTGTGACGACCGTGTCAGCTGACACGTCTGGCTCCACCTCCCAGTAATCTGCGTAATGATCAACCATGATCAGGAAGTCCTTTCCTGCATATGCAAAAAGGTCCATGCTCAATGTTTGCCATGGGCGCTCTGGGATGTCATGTGACATCATTGATTCATTTTGATGTGCTCGTGCATATTCATTATAGGCTGAGCAGTTGGATACATGTCCTTGACCAATAGTCTCTTACACTCAAAGATGTGTCCTCTTTCACAGCTGGCCATCCTGAAAGAACTACTGACATTATGTCCTGTAAGTCCTCATCCAACTCTGTGCACTATAAGATCTGGCGGAACCTGTGGTTTGGTGCATCTGTCCTCCTGCCTTGTGTTGTTGCTCTGCTCAGAGCGTTGCTGATGTACATTTCCGGCCCAGGCTTTAAGGTGACACCCAGGTTGTAGTTTTGCAGCTGCATTATCATACCTTGGAAACGTTTAGGGAGCTAACATTGCCCATGAATGGAAGTTAGGCTAGCGAGCAAGCATTGTAGCCAGGTAGCCTAGGACAACAAAAAATTAAAGCGTGTGCTGTCTGACAGGGTGATAGACCATTTTGTCAACATGAAAGAGAGGATAGCATTGGTGTTTCTCTACAAGTAGGGTGAGTCAACATGTTTTTCTACTTGCACGATGCACGCACACACATGCGCACTCAGAAATCAGAACCATGGACAGCCACATCATATTTAGCTTATGTTGATTGGACTAAATTGTTTTCGGTATCTTTTAGTTGTCACTGTATTAGACGAAGCAGAGGTGATTTGATGATGTTAAAATGTTTTAGTTGAAATGGTGCTGGAATAGGGGAGGCAGCTCCTGTTTTCTTTGCGACTTGCGGTACCTCTCTATGGTTCTAAATCAATAGTTGTTTAGTGGTCCGAAAATGTCGGAAACATTAACTTGCTTAACCATGCTGTAGGTCTGTTATATGCAATGGACTTCACCAGACAGAGGTTGCTGTCCGGTTTTGTGTTAAAACAAAGGTGTGGTTGAAATGTATTCTGCCACTGTGTCTTCTAATTGTCTCGGCCTTTAGGACTATATATCACGGTCGCAAGGCATATGAATTAACAGCAAACAATGCAAATATTATAACACATACAGTGTAGGCTGTAATATAGCTTTGGCTTTCCCAGTGATTTTACGCACGCACCGCTACTGTTAATTCATATGCCTTGCGACCATGATACCTGCTGTGCATCTGCGTAGTGGCTGTCTGTCATGACCAACCAAAAGCGATAAGCTATGGACTTTGGGGGGAAGCCCATTTTATACTGTTGGGGTATCAAGCTTGATTGCAGCTTGAATAGAGGATGCTTTATGTACACACCGGTACACAGGGGACACGAGTGTATTACCGGGAATGCACATCAAGCCTAGACGATAGTGCACATCTATTGCCCCTGCACTATCGGCTGTCTAGGATAATATATCTTGCCTCAGGCACAGTCGATGTAATTATGTATTTCAGTAACAGGCAATCCTGTGTGTGTGTCTCTGCAGCGTCAGTGAAATACAGCCATGAACGAGGTAATGATGCTGCAAATGTTCAATCTGCCTCTCTTTCCTAGATTTGTATTCCTCACGAGAATTTGCAGTATTTGACGTCCCACTCATCCAACACTCTAAACAGTGACTGTTTCTCCGTGGGTCTTACCTAGGCAGCGTAATAAAGGTCCATAAACAGCAGCAGGTGAGTTTATATTTGTAATTTTTGCATCCACTCATGGCCTAATGACTCTTCCCTTGCCCCAATCAGTGAATTCGTAATTTGATGGCCCAGGCTTATTCAATTGTGCAGAACGTTGATAAATGTACCTTTTACAGCAAGGAACAGTAAGGAAAATGTATTCTCTGGGCACAATGTATTTTCTATCTGAAAGTGTTGTGACGTTGTATCAGAATAGGCCTACCGTCCTGAATCTGTTATCGTTTCAAGATCAGAGCAGAGGACATCAAATCCTGTTTCCCTACAGCAGCATCAGTGTGACAATACAAGTATGAGTCAGGTAACTACAATGCAATCATACAGTTAGCAGCTGTGTAAGCCTGTGAACAATAATAAATAGCCTATCATACTCTTCCTCCTAGGCAAGGACAATGAGTTTGGAAGAGCAAATCAGGAGCTTCTCACCAGATGCAGCATCTGCCCTTGCAAGTAAGTTATCATATCTCACTGAGCTTTATGCATTGTATCGTCAGTCGTCGTCAACTGTGTTCCTAATTACATCATATTTGTTTTCAGGAGCTGGAATTAAAGAGGACATTGATATTCAAGAGTTAACAAGAGATGATCTGAACGAACTTCTGCCAGGCCTCGAGCATTTCAAACTTAGAAAGAGGATCAGTGAACTTCTAACCAAATCTAAACAGGTTGGTATAGCCCCAAAAGCTTCGATGGCTACTATACCACTTTGTGGGATCATTCAGGATAGTTAATAGAATGAAGGTTTTTGATTCAATGTGCAATTCCATTGTATGTACTAATCCCCCCATGTTTTCTCAACCTTTTTTGTTTCTTAGGACACAGCTAAACCTATCGATTTAATTCTTAACGAGGTTAGGGACTTCATTTCAGCTGGTGTCATGAAGAGTAAGTCCCTTTTCAAGGACTTTCAGCATAGCTGTCACCCAATACATTTGTGGTGTCTCTTTGGTTGTAATTGTAATGTTATGCACTGGTCACTTTCTGCTTACAGATGCACTTGTTCCTGGGGGAGTGTTACATGGCTACGTCCCTATTCTTGGAGATTTGGAGAAGCAGCTTGACAAAGCCCTGCACTTTATTCAGGCACATGTTGAACTACTTGAGAGCTACAATAAAGAAGAGCCCATGGAGGCTGAGGGCAATGCTGTGTCCCCATCAGTTGACTCTGCTACAGCAGGAAACCAGCTCATCCTTCATGAATCACAAGACATAGATAATGGTATAAAAATTGTAAACACGTAGATTTCATGAATAGTATAATTTTGTTGAGAAGTTAAACATTCAAGACATTCACTATTGGGACGTTAATGGCGCTCGAACACAGTCTTGTCTTAGTTTGGAATTACTCAGTTAACAGCCCCAATCTTCAATATTTTTCAGTACATAAAAAATCTGTTAAAGGCGCTTCAGAACGACCAGGTAACTCAAAATCTTAAACACAGCACGTTATCAAAACGTAAGAATTCTATAGATGTTTTTAAACCCTTTTACAGCTGGCAAAGCCAACCACAATGACTTGCACAGACTCACAAGAATGTGCTGCAAAAACATTGGATTTTCATTCATAATACTTTGTTGTCCTCAGCCTTAGGTGCTGTAGAGACCCACCCCAAACGACCAAGAACAGATGTGGATGACAAAGGTCATTATCAAAGCCTAAAAACTGTTCAATGTCATTCAATCCTTTAAAGTATCATTAATTTCTAAGTAAAAAAATAGATGTAGCAATCACTGATTGCCTCTTTAAGGAATTGGAAACAATAATGTGTTAAGAAAGTTTGATTTGAATTGCTAATTTCAGATAGTTCCTCATCCGTAGATGATAGCATCCAGGCCCAAAAAGATAAGGAAGGAAAAGAACCTGGAAGTTCGTGGACGTTCTCCCACTTCTTCAATGGATCTCCATTCAGAGGAAATGAAACAAAACATTTGCCAGGTGAGATTCTTGGGATATGCTTTGTACTAATCGAAAATCATTTGTTCATGCATTTCCTGTCAGTCCACCGTTCGTATCAATCTAATTGGCATAAATCTCTCCTCCCCTCCCCGCTGTGATAGCTGACGTGTGATTAGCTTTCTAGCCTGAAATGACTGCAATGGAAATCCACCACTTTTCTTTTGTATGCAACATCTTGGGGATATACTGTATGTAGTGTTGTAATTTAATTATGTTTTGTTTCAAGTAGTTAAAGTCCATTCGCAAGTGTGTGGGAAAACCCTGAACACTCACCTTGCACTCATGAAACAAGTGGATAATCTGGGACTTAAGCGAGAGGAGACCAGTGCAGAGGACTGCCAAGTCATGATGGTCTTCTGTCCTGTTACATCTCGTATGGGAACTGACATTGAGGCTGCCATGAGCCAAGTTCCAGGTAGGAAAGCCTTTTGAGATTACACCATGATAGTTAAAGTATTCCAGACCGAATACAATTGTCAATACTACTTCTATCATGGGATTTCATTTTACTCAACAGGATGTATTGGTCCATGTTGTAGAATTACCTTTTGTCTCTAATGATTTTTTTGTGGAAGTACTTTTCTAAAGATTGCATCGTTTTATCTCTCAACAGGTAACAGAGATGCCATTCTAGTGGTGATGCACCATACTTATGATCAAAACTTTGTCACAAGCCGGAGATCTGCATCTTACTACAAAAACATAGTGGAGGAAGTGAATGTTCTCTTCCTTGACTCTGTGGGACTTCTGCGTTGTAAAACAAATGATGAAGCAGTGACTCTCATACATAAGGCCTTACAGAAATACAACAGCCGTACTTACAGACATTAAGTGCCCCATTGTGGCAACACAAAGAGTCTGAAGTCTGTAACAAGATTACAACGCCGCCAACATTATTTAAAAACCAAAAATTATACGACTTCCAACCAGGGCGTTGGTGACTCATTCTAGTTTAGAATAAAGCATATAACAATCTATGTAGTGAACCAAATGAAAGATTATCTTGCTACTCAATAAGGACAAAATTAGACTTCTCCCTGTAGAACCTCTGGTGTGAGTGAATCTTTGAAGATGGGATGCCTCATATGTATTTGTGAATTTCAGCTTGATCTACTTTTAGTATTAGAAGCACTTATTGTTTGAGGTGTTACCTACTTTGTGACATTATGCCTCAATCAGATTGAATAGTTGTACCTACAGTATAGTTGGACCTACAGTATAGTTGGACCTACAGTATAGTTGGACCTACAGTATATAGCCTCGTTATTGGTATTGTATTGTGTTACTTTTCATTTTTTACTTTAGTCTATTTAGTGAATATTTTCTTAACTGCATTGTTGGTTAAGGGCTTGTAGGTAAGCATTTCACGGTAAGGTGAATACCTGTTGTATTCGGCGCATGTGACAAATAAAATTTATGAGAATTTGTTGCTTATGAATGTTCTGAATTCTTCTCATAGAATAAGACAAGTACAAGTGTTGCATAAAATATTGAATAACTTAGTAATAATGACAATAATAAGATTTTCCCCCAAACTCTTCTGATATCAATAGACTTATTCAATTGTGTTGTGAGGAATTTCCGTCTGCATATGGACTAATAAAGTACCAATCTATTCAAAAGCTAAATAACAAAATAAAGATGCTCATGAAGTTCTTATTTTCATAAAAAAATAAAGAGTACACATGCAACATTGATTAGGGCAAGTGTTGAGTCAAAATGTTTATATTTTCATATTAATCACAACCCTTGGTAAGAATGTCATTGCTTAGAAAAACTGTAATCATATTTTTTTTAAACTCTTCTTCTGATATCAATATAAAGATGCATAGCGGCATTCATTTCTAAACAAACTTCTAGAAATACTATAGGCATATAGAAATACTATATTTTCACACAAAAAAAGTGATTTAGGATCACCTTTCTCTTGCCTCAACCATCGTTTCATCACAAAGTAAAGACAGGCTTTTATGACAAAACAGCACGGTTTTGATACTTAGTATGATAGTTTTGTCAACTGATGCAAAACCTGCTGTTGTCACTCCCCACTGTTAATAAACGACACCATAGTCAAAATGTCATAAGCCCACCAGGCCACAGGAAGAACACTTTGGTGCCAAAACACTCCATTTTGGTGCTACAGGCCCATGGTAAAGTAGATCAGTCAATGAGAATACATGTTCTTATTTCCTCAGGCACTGGAAGTAAGGCCATGTCCAATGATCCATCCATCAACCATCTCCACCTTGCAGAAATAAGTGTGTCTTGACACAGTGCAATAATGTTTTGACAGTGCATATCATTGATAAATCTATTATGATATTTCAGGTGGCCCAAATGTAATGTGTTTATAGGGATAGGCTTAACAGGAGATTGTCCTCAAATCCTCCCCCTCAACAGGAATTGGTCTGTACCCTGGTAATGTGTGCACTATGCATAAGTGTGACTAAAAACTTGAAAAACGTCCTTTTAGACTTCTGTATGCATCATATTATCATTTGTTTTGTCCTCATAGGACATTAGAACTACTGCCACATGCTGGAGAATATGGGTCATTAACAGAATATTATCTGTTCTTCAACATATTTAACTTGTCTCATCATGACCACTGGTTTTATGCCCATTAGACAGTATCATATCCCCACGTCACAAGAAACCAACTGTCTTGATTTCACAATAGCTTTACAATTCTCTCTCAGACACACATCATGGCATTTATCCCAGTTAACTCAACCTATACAACCAACCATCTGATATATCTTGTGAATATGTTAACTGGACAGCCATGGTTAATATACTCCTAATAACACACACACAAAACAAGTATAATATATATATATATATATAATGCCATCCATATACATTACATTAACAGCAGAGCAAGTCTGGCTAGGGTCAATATCCCTCCCCTTATAGTCCACACATCCTCTCTAACACTGCTGCCGTAGCCCTGCGATTGGCCCTCTGCGGTGTCCGTCACTGGCTTGGTCGGTTGGGGCGGTCCCTCCAGTAGTTGTTATAGGCCTCCTGGAACATGTTCTTGCAGCCGAGCTTGGCGTCAAGGCGGGAGCAGATGAGGAAGGAGCCGCCCATCTTGCGGTGGAGGGAGTAGGTCTCCTCGGGGGGCGGGGTGAGGCGCTGCTTCAGCATCACAGGGATCAGGTTGTGGATGCGCTCCGTGGTGCTCTGGGCTCCGAAGTTAAAGGGCTCCGTGGAGGCAAAGGCCTCGCCTAGGATCATCACCGCGTCCACATGGGCATTCACCATGGACTGAGGGACGGGCAGAACATAATCAGAGAGAGTAATAACCTGTATGTGTTTGTGTTTTAGTGGGTTCAGGGGGAGCCATTGTAATTAAGTTATGGGTATTCACTACTCAGTTTATGCCATGGAGTAATGGAGAGCCTTCTCAATTCATTGTCTATGACAAAATAAACTAGTATGTGGCATTGTTGACTCATATGTTCAGAACAAATGATGTGACTCACCTTTGACTCATAACCTGTGAGGAACTTCATGTCTACTGATCTCTTCCGAACCCCCTCTCTGTCTCCCTCTGCTGCTGACTTGATGAGCTGATTAAAACACAATGAACGCCACACACATCGAATAAATCATTTTGATCTGTTATGTTTTGTTGTGGGATAAAGTCTAATATCTTACCTCAATGTAAATGTCAGTGAAGTCCTCACTAAATCCTCTTGTGGCTCCGAAATCCAACAACGCAACCTATGGATGGAACAGTAGTAATGTTTAGTCATTCTAAGCATTCAGCAACATCGTGCTACTGTATAGGATTAGCATGCTCTACAGAAGACACCAAGAAGACGGAAGATCCATTTAAACAGAGACAACCTTTAGGAAGGTCATCAAAATTAGTTACAGGACTAATGATGAAGTTGATAACAAGAGTTAAAAGGCAGACTCACTCTGTGTGTCTGTGGGTCGTAGAAGAAGTTGGACCAGTTGGGGTCAGTCTGCATGTATCTGAACTCAAACAGCTCCCTTAAACAAAGTTTCAGGATATTCTCACAGATCTGACACACACATAGAGACAGAGGCAGAGAGAGAGAAAGATACTTTAGGAACATACATTTTTCAGTCTGCAATTTCACCACCAAGGGGCAGTAATACATTGTAGCAGGTGTTTTGGTGGGTGAGGTGACAGAAATTAGGTTCTTGTTGTGGCGTTTGTTTTACACATCAAATCAAGCTTGGCAAGCAGAAAACACACATCAAAATCCACATTTACACAATGTACCATAAGTAAGTATGTAGTAAGTACCAAAATACACAATGGTGGCCTTTGTTAATGTATTTGTTATTGAACACAGTTGCAGCATATACTGACCTCGTTTTTGAGTTCCTGGGAGAGTTGTTCAGCCTGGTCCAGAGGGAAGCCGGGGACCAGCTCTGTGGTGAGGACGGCGTTGCTGCTCAGCTCGTCTATTACGTCTGGTACGTAGAAGAACGGGTGGTCTTTCAGCAGCTCCCTGTACCAATCACATAATACTCATCAGACGCCTGAACACCACAACACACAGCTCTGAAAACTACAGCTGGACAACTCAGCACTTAAGATTAAATGGGAGTATATGTACATTATTTATGTCATGACAGTTCACAGGATATTTCCATTGTTTTCAAATAGCATTATGTTACTGTATGAACTTAAAATAACGCGGTATGATCTTCTCTTCAAACTCCACAGATTTATCAGTGAGTGACCTCAACAAAAACTAATTGCATCTCCACAATCCCTCAAATAATCCTCCAGTGTCTACACTCTAACTCCATGTGCTTGGGGCTGTAGAATCACTGTTTAATGGAAGGGGGAACCACATACTGTATGAACGTGTATAGAAGGGAGCGTGTCACCGGCCATGGTCAAGGTGAAAAAGCATGTCATCCACAGCTGGTGCGTACCGTGTGTAACAGGAGCCTCCTCTCTGGACATAAACCATATCTCTCACCCTGCCTTCCTGTCAACAGACCCGGGGATGATGGCGCGGGGACGGGGGGGTATGAGGAGATGGCATGGGGAGGGGGTGCTTGTTGTCTTCTTGTATTATGTCCAGATCAGCTATATTTAAATGCTGGCTGCAGGCGAATGGTGCACATTTATATCAAGTCATCAAACCCAACGCTCCCCAGAGGGCTAGAGTGGCTGTTCTTAGACCCTACAGGCTACAGTACATTTCCTGATCTGGAGTCATACAATGATATGTTGTGTTGTCCTCCCACCATGATCTGGAAAAGGCACTGTGTTTAAGAGATTGATTTACCTTGGCCCCCTTGGGAGAGATGTATTTACTAAGTGCTCACTAAAAAGCCACAGCTTGAGTCATCACAAATTCCTATTGCTTGGCTACATCCAACTTCATCCAAAAGATAAAGCAATCTTTCCCCCTTCATTTCATTTCTGGAGCTTGCAGTGACAATTAGATGATGAAAGTAGTTACGGGGAGGTGGTCTTTAAGAGGAAGCTCATCTGGTTGTTTTGATCACTCACTGGAATTTCTTGGCACATTTGGCCTCTCTTATGTAATCACATTCCAGTGCCATTTTATTGGTCACATACACGTGTTTAGCAGATGTTATTGCGGGTGTAGCGAAATGCTTGTGTTTTTTTTAGCTCCAACAGTGAAGTAATGTCTATCAAGTAATATCTAACAAATTCACAACAAGACACACAATACACACTCATCTAGAGTAAAGGAATGGAATTAAGAATATATAAATATTTGGAAGAGCAATGTCAGAGCGGCATAGACTAAGATACAGTAGAACAGAATACAATACAGTATATAAATATGAGATGAGTAATGCAAAATATTTCAACATTATTCAAGTGACTAGTGTTCCATTATTAAAGTGGCCAGTGATTTCAAGTCTATGTATATAGGGCTGCAGCGATGGCTATTTAACAGTCTGATGGCCTTGAGATAGAAGCTGTTTTTCAGTCTCTCTGTGCCAGCTTTGATGCACCTGTACTGACCACGCCTTCTGGATGATAGTGGGGTGGACAGGCAGTGGCTCGGATGGTTGTTGTCCTTGATGATCTTTTTGGCCTTCCTGTGACATCGGGTGCTGTAGGTGTCCTGGAGGGCAGGTAGTTTGCCCCCGGTGATGTGTTGGGCAGACCGCACCACCCTCTGGAGAGCTCTGCGGTTGCAGGCGGTTGTGCATCTGTAAACGTTTGTGTAGGTTTTAGGTGCCAAGCCACATTTCTTCAGCCTCCCGAGGTTGAAGAGGCGCTGTCACGTCTTCTTCACCACACTGTCTGTGTGAGTGGACCATTCCAGTTTGTCAGTGATGTGTACGCCGAGGAACTTGAAGCTTTTCACCTTCTCCACTGCGGTCCCGTCGATGTGGATAGGGAGGATCTCCCTCTGCTGTTTCCTGAAGTCCACGATCATCTCCTTTGTTTTGTTGACGTTGAGTGAGAGGTTATTTTCCTGGCCCCACACTCCTAGGGCCCTCACCTCCTCCCTGTAGGCTGTCTCGTCATTGTTGGTAATCAGGCCTACTACTGTTGTGTCGTCTGCAAACTTGATGATTGAGTTGGAGGCGTGTGTGGCCACGCATTCATGTGTGAACAGTGAGTACAGGAGGGGGCTGAGCACGCACCCTTGTGGGGCCCCAGTGTTGAGGGTCAGCGAAGTGGAGGTGTTGTTTCCTACCTTCACCACCTGGGGGCGGCCCGTCAGGAAGTCCAGGACCCAGTTGCACAGGGTGGGGTTCAGACGCAGGGCCTCGAGCTTAATGATGAGCTTGGAGGGTACTATGGTGTTGAATGCTGAGCTATAGTCAATGAACAGCATTCTTACATGGGTATTCCTCTTCTCCAGATGGGATAGGACAGTGTGCAGTGCGATGGCGATTGCATCGTCTGTGGATCTATTGGGGCGGTAAGCAAATTGAAGTGGGTCTAGGGTGTCATGTAAGGTAGAGGTGAAATTATCCTTAACTAGCCTCTCAAAGCACTTCATGATTACCGAAGTGAGTGCTATGGGCTGTAGTCATTTAGTTCAGTTACCTTTGATTTCTTGTGTACAGGAACAATGGTGGACATCTTGAAGCAAGTGGGGACAGCAGACTAGGATAGGGAGAGATTGATTATGTCCGTAAACACTCCAGCCAGCTGTTCTGAGCATTGTCTTACTCACTTCGGCCACGGAGAAGGAGAGCCCACAGTTCATGGTAGCTGGCCTCATCGATGGCACTGTGTTATCCTCAAAGCAGGTGAAGAAGTTGTTTAGCTTGTCCGGAAGCAAGACGTCGTGTCTGCGACGTGGCTGGTTTTCCCTTGCAATTTCGTCATGTAAAAACTGGTGCACTGGCATTTTCCACCCCTTACGCCAGCTTCAGCAATTTACCTGTCTAACATCAGCTTGCTTGCACTGAGATGGGAGGTGTGGAAATATTTGAGGTGTGTCCTTAAAAACTTGTGCCAATATGCCAATTTAAGTCAGCACAACTAGGGATATTTAAGAAGGACCGAAAGCTGGTCTTAGCGGTAACACAATTGGTTAAGGCATTGATTTTGCCAGCGGAGGTGCACACAGTAGTCTTATGTACATCACCAATGTTTTAAAATACTTCTTATTGACAATGCATGTCAGAGCAAAAAACAAGCCATGAGGTCGAAGGAATTGTCCGTAGAGCTCTGAGACAGGAATGTTTCGAGGCACAGATCAGGGGAAGTGCACCAAAAAATGTCTACAGCATTGAAGGTCACCAAGAACACAGTGGCCGCCATCATTCTTAAATGGAAGAAGTTTGGAACCACCACGACTCTTCCTAGAGCTGGCCACCCAGCCAAACTGAACAATCTGAGGAGAAGGGCCATGGTCAGGGAGGTGACCAAGAACCCGATAGTCACTCTGATAGAGCTCTAGAGTTCCTCTGTGGAGACGGGAGAAACTTCCAAATGGACAACCATCTCTGCAGCACTCCACCAATCAGGCCTTTATGGTAGCGTGGCCAGACGGAAGCCACTCCTCAGTAAAAGGCACATGACAGCCCACTTGGAGTTTGCCAAAAGGCACCAAAAGACTCTCAGGCCATGATATACAAGGTTCTCTGGTCTGATGAAACCAAGATTTTACTGTTTGGCCTGAATGCCAAGCGTCACGTCTGGAAGAAACCTTGCACAATCCCTACGGTGAAGCATGGTGTTGGCAGAATTATGCTGTGGGGAAGTTTTTCAGTGGCAGGGACTGGGAGACTAGTCAGGATCAAGGCAAAGATGAACGGAACAAAGTACAGAGAGATCCTTGATGAAAACCTGCTCCAGAGCGCTCAGGACCTCAGACTGGGGCGAAGGTTCACCTTCCAACAGGACAACGACCCAAAGCACACAGCAAAGACAACGCAGGAGTGGCTTCGGGACAAGTCTTTGAATGTCCATGAGTGGCCCTGCCAGAGCCCGGACTTGAATCCGATCGAACTTCTCTGGAGAGACCTGAAATAGCTGTGCAGCAATGCTCCCCATCCAACCTGACAGATCTTGAGAGGATCTGCAGAGAAGAATGGGAGAAACTCCCCAAATACAGGTGTGCCAAGCTTGTAGCGTCATACCCAAGAAGACTCAAGGCTGTAATCACTGCAAAAGGTGCTTCAACAAAGTACTCAGTTAAGGGTCTGAATACTTACGTAAATGTCATATTTCCATTGTTTATTTTGTTTAAATTTACAAACATTTATAAAAACCTGTTTTTGCTTTGTCATTATGGGGTATTGAGTGTAGATTGATGAGGTGATGTCACAAAATGTGGAAAAAGTCAAGTGGTCAGAATACTTTCCGAAGGCACAATATATATACAGTGGGGGAAAAAAGTATTTAGTCAGCCACCAATTGTGCAAGTTCTCCCACTTAAAAAGATGAGAGAGGCCTGTAAAAAAAATCCAGAAAATCACATTGTAGGATTTTTTATGAATTTATTTGCAAATTATGGTGGAAAATAAGTATTTGGTCAATAACAAAAGTTTCTCAATACTTTGTTATATACCCTTTGTTGGCAATGACACAGGTCAAACGTTTTCTGTAAGTCTTCACAAGGTTTTCACACACTGTTGCTGGTATTTTGGCCCATTCCTCCATGCAGATCTCCTCTAGAGCAGTGATGTTTTGGGGCTGTCGCTGGGCAACACAGACTTTCAACTCCCTCCAAAGATTTTCTATGGGGTTGAGATCTGGAGACTGGCTAGGCCACTCCAGGACCTTGAAATGCTTCTTACGAAGCCACTCCTTCGTTGCCCGGGCGGTGTGTTTGGGATCATTGTCATGCTGAAAGACCCAGCCACGTTTAATCTTCAATGCCCTTGCTGATGGAAGGAGGTTTTCACTCAAAATCTCACGATACATGGCCCCAGTCATTCTTTCCTTTACACGGATCAGTCGTCCTGGTCCCTTTGCAGAAAAACAGCCCCAAAGCATGATGTTTCCACCCCCATGCTTCACAGTAGGTATGGTGTTCTTTGGATGCAACTCAGCATTCTTTGTCCTCCAAACACGACGAGTTGAGTTTTTACTAAAAAGTTCTATTTTGGTTTCATCTGACCATATGACATTCTCCCAATCCTCTTCTGGATCATCCAAATGCACTCTAGCAAACTTCAGACGGGCCTGGACATGTACTGGCTTAAGCAGGGGGACACGTCTGGCACTGCAGGATTTGAGTCCCTGGCGGCGTAGTGTGTTACTGATGGTAGGCTTTGTTACTTTGGTCCCAGCTCTCTGCAGGTCATTCACTAGGTCCCCCTGTGTGGTTCTGGGATTTTTGCTCACCGTTCTTGTGATCATTTTGACCCCACGGGGTGAGATCTTGCGTGGAGCCCCAGATCGAGGGAGATTATCAGTGGTCTTGTTTGTCTTCCATTTCCTAATAATTGCTCCCACAGTTGATTTCTTCAAACCAAGCTGCTTACCTATTGCAGATTCAGTCTTCCCAGCCTGGTGCAGGTCTACAATTTTGTTTCTGGTGTCCTTTGACAGCTCTTTGGTCTTGGCCACAGTGGAGTTTGGAGTGTGACTGTTTGAGGTTGTGGACAGGTGTCTTTTATACTGATAACAAGTTCAAACAGGTGCCATTAATACAGGTAACGAGTGGAGGACAGAGGAGCCTCTTAAATAAGAAGTTACAGGTCTGTGAGAGCCAGAAATCTTGCTTGTTTGTAGGTGACCAAATACTTATTTTCCACCATAATTTGCAAATAAATTCATAAAAAATCCTACAATGTGATTTTCTGGATTTTTTTTCCTCAATTTGTCTGTCATAGTTTACGTGTACCTATGATGAAAATGACAGGCCTCTCTCATCTTTTTAAGTGGGAGAACTTGCACAATTGGTGGCTGCCATCCAGGACCTCTATACCAGGCGGTGTCAGAGGAAGGCCCTCAAAATTGTCAAAGACTCCAGCCACCCTAGTCATAGACTGTTCTCTCTGCTACCGCACGGCAAGCGGTACCGGAGTGCCAAGTCTAGGTCCAAAAGACTTCTCAACAGCTTCTATCCCGAAGCCATAAGACTCCTGAACAGCTAATCATGGCTACCCGGACTATTTGCACTGCCCCCCCACCCCATCCTTTTTACGCTGCTGCTACTCTGTTAAGTATTTATGCATAGTCACTTTAACTCTATTACCTCAACTACCTCAACTAGCCGGTGCCCCCGCACATTGACTCTGCAACGGTACCTCCCTGTATATATAGCCTCCCTACTGTCACTTTATTTTACTGTATATATAGCCTCCCTACTGTCACTTTATTTTACTTCTGCTCTTTTTTTCTCAACACTTTTTTTGTTGTTGTTTTATTCTTACTTTTTTTGTTTAAAATAAATGCACTGTTGGTTAAGGGCTGTAAGTAAGCATTTCACTGTAATGTCTGCACCTGTTGTATTCGGCGCATGTGACCAATAAAATTTGATTTGATTTGATTTGATTTGACTAATTACTTTTTTTCCCCACTGTATATTTAAAATCAGTTGAGACAGCTGAAGGGAGCACGGCTCATAATAATGGCTGGAACGGTACAAATGGAATGGCATCAAACCATGTGTTTGATCTATTTGATACCATTCCACTGATACCGCTCCAGTCATTACCACAAGCCTGTGCTCCCCAATTAAGGTGCCACCAACCTCCTGTGATATATATATACACTGTGTATGGTTCTCTTTATCCAAACCCTATGTTTCAATTGACTGGTTGGGTTCTCTGCTTGGATTCAAGTGACACTGACAGAAGATCGACTAGGGGTATTAAAGCAACATAGAGTTTGATATTTAATTGCCACTGGTTCTGATCTGCTGAAACTTTGGCTAAAATGTCTGCTGACTACTGTAGTTTTACTGCAACATTTATTCATTCCTGCAGCCTGCTACAAACGGTTGAGATATGAAGGAGGGTATTGCACTGACGTGTATTTGTATTTTATTGACATGCCAGGGGTGATCCATAGATTAGGGCGGGGTGATAAATAACTGCCTACTCGACATCCTGCTCTGCAACATCATTGGAAACAACCCCCAACTAAGCAAAAATAAATATGAATGACAGGGTAAATATGCCTAAATATGTAGGCTTACATTTATCTTATTCTACTGTAGGCTACTGCTTATTATTGTAGTTGCACTAAAGTGAACATTTTAGACTGATCCATATTTCCAAATGGTTTATGTTTTATATTAAGTAAATAACAAATGTGCCTATTGCATATACCAGAGGCACATATTTGAGGTTGATATACAGTGCTTGATACTCTCCCCAGGAGACACAAAACACAGGCAAGCGATTCTGTAGAGGATGTTGCATAGAGGACCAAGGTGAGAGAACACTTGTGTTTCTGGGAAAGAGACGAGATGACATTAACATCATAGTTTTGTGTAGAATGTAATCAGCTGTAATACATGAAATTCATCACTGTAACAACTGGGAATACTGGGACGTCTCATGAGGACTTTAAAGGGCGTCTCACTACAGGAAGAGGTTTAACTGACGTGATTAAGGAGGAGAGTGATGTCATCCTGTTTTTCTGTTCCATCGTCTCTCGTGCTGGGACTGATATTGAAGAAGCACTGCAGCAGAATCCAGGCAAACAATATGAATGTTTTCCCTAGATTTAAGGAGCTGATACTTACTTAAAGGTTAATTAAAGGATCTGAAACCAGCAGCAGGGATTGATCAGATTTTACACTCCTTTCAAACCACGTGTACGGCACGCCTTACCCCAAAAAATTATACTCTGTCTGTACCTAAGTGAAATACAATTATCTGATTTCCTGAATTATTTCTTGTTCCTTGCTGTCCCTCTCTCTCTCGACAGATGGTAAACCTGTCATTCTGGTAGTGCTGCATCACTCCTTCGATCCAGAGTGTGTTGTATCTGACAGTAGCAGACTAGTGACCAGAGGTGATGTAATACTCACAGTGAACTGTCTCTTCCATGAGAGCCAGGGAGTACTACTGGAGTGTCCTCGCAATGAAAAGCAGTCAAAAAGATTCAGAAGACGTTTAACATGCAACCAAAGGTAAGCCATTTCACTTGTATTCCACATGATGGCGATAGAGTTGAATACTGGTGTATACTTATTGTTGACACAAGAGCTATACATTGTCATTGTTTTCCATGCAAACATTCACATATGTTACCATGTCTTTGCAGAAGAATCTGCTGCTCAGCTGTTGTGCCTGTTGGTGTTGCTGTTCCACTGACAATGACATAAACACTAGCCTTTTGAATCAAGATGACTGACACTGGATTATACAAATAGTTTACACCAGTGGATGCTGCTGAGAGGAGGACGGCTCTTAATAATGGCTGGAATGGAGTCAACGAAATGGAATCAAACACATCAAACAATGGGTTTCCATGCGGTTGATACCATTCCATTGACTCCATTCCAGCCATTATTAGGAGCCGTCCTCCCCTCAGCAGCCTCCACTGGTTTACACTACAGCGTGGACTGCAGTTGTAAGGAATATGCAAGGAGTCAGGAAACAGATGTAGAAGGTGAGTTTAATCATTATAATCACTACTGAAAGTAACCAAAACCAATACTGACTGAGGCTTACTGAGGGCTATATGAAGGTGTAGTAATCAGGGTGGTGATGAAGTCCAGGTGTGCTTAATGGTGGGGAGCTGGTGTGTGCAATTATGGTTGCCAGGTGTGCATAATGTGGGTTGCCAGGACCGGTGGTTAGTAGACCGGCAACGTTGAGCGCCGGTGCGGTGGAGCGGGAGTAGACGTGACAGCAGTTGTACACACTATCCTGACAATGACATGTTTCATCGAGCACCACATCGACTGAATCTAAATTATATCAACTGAAATGAAGGAATTTGATATGTATATTTTGTGACATTGAGACATTAGGGAGAAATTGATGGGCACAAATACTCTACAATATTTACATTTACAATTTTCACTAGTATCAGTTATTTGAAAGCAACTTGTTTACACATGCACATGAAGAGTGTCAGACACCTGTGAAATCATTCAATAAATGAGTAAAATGTTGATATATCAGTTATTTTGTTTCTTACAAGGCTCAACCCTCATAACAGGGTTGCTCTTAATGCAAGGCAATGACATTGTAAGGTCAATGACTAAATTAAGTAGTTTTTTTTGTCACCATGGGAGTTACAGTGTACACAGCAATATGCAATACATATACATCAATATAAAACAATCTGTTTTATTAGAAGCAGTATGGACATAATTTTTATAGGAGTCTGCTGGGTTAGTTTAATGTAAATCCACGTGATATAGGGTCCTAGGAGGTAACTAGCGCCCCCCTAAGAACAATGTCTAATTCCTGACACAAAAAAGCAAGGTTTTGAAAAAAATTGGTATGTGGATGAAGGTCATGCTTAGGCGAATAAACTATAAAGGGAAATAAATGGGGTAACTGGCCCCCGGTAGAAGATTATGGCATAGAGCTTCACACAAGTGTGTTAAACTTTGCCTTATTTTCATGATTTAAATAAAATATGGGGGGGGGGGGGGGGGGGGGGGGGGGGAAACGTCAGTGGCCCCCCAGCCTTCTTGGCACACAGACTCTCTGGCACCCACCAGTGACAGAAATAAATGGAATGTCCTCATCCTCAAAATCCTACGTAACACGTAATATCAAACACATTAACAAATCCTCTGTAAAACATGTCATATCAACATGTCACCATTAATTTCCGCACTATGAGGAGATTTGATGTAAAGTCCATATTTTTAATGGTCAGTAGGCAGTTACACCCTACTGACTCTTTCAGTTTCACTTTCCTATTATAAGAATTCAGTGAGTTCAGAGAATATTTCAAGACTGAAAGTAGATGCTGCGACAGAAACGGTTCAAACCAGGTTTGTTCTTTCATTGAATCTCTTTTTATAAATGCAATGTTAAAATTGTTATTGGTTTGTCTATCTTTGTGGGCTCATTGACATTGACAGCATTTAGAACTGCAGTATGCACCTTGATGTTCACACTGTATAGGCCAAACTGTAATTTGAGCGTCTTGCTTGTGTTCTCACGCATCTGTTTTCGTATTACATTGAAGATCAGATGATCATTGTGAGGCTCTGCAGCGTCAGCTAAAATTGAAATATGAGCAACAAGGTAAAGAATAGGCCTAATATAAATCTATCATTAATAATAATCAGAAAAATGTTTACTTTGAATAATGTTTCGAACCAGCACTTAAAGTAGACCTATGGATTTATCTTTCCAAGGTAAACTGGCTGCCACCTGCAGATGCAGATGCACCCCAAGGTAAGCAAAATTACTATGCATGTGACACCTTCACAATCTTACCTTATTAAAGCAAAGAGGAAATTCAGCAACTCTTGGAGGACAGTGGAAGTTGATAAGTGTTTCTTTACTCTTTCAGCACATAGCCTTCATCAGAAATGTACAGATGGATTAATGGAGGATTTTATATCCTATTTAGAAATGTTTGGCCGATGTGGTGATACTAATGGTTTGTAGGCACTGGTGGTTTATTTACATAGTAGGTTATAATGACTAAAGTAGCAGGTTAGGAGATCTAACGTGGCAGCAGTGGCAGACTTAGCATTAGGCAGAAGAGGCAACTGCCTCAGGCCTCACATCATCAAGGGGCCTCATGAGCTGAGCATATTTTTTAAATATTTTCTTTAACAAACGTCAGATTTTACTTTTCGTAGCAGGTTAGGAGACCGTACACAGCAAGTTAGGAGAATTGAACATTAGGTTAAGGTTAGGAAAAGGGTTAGGGATAGCTAAAATACAATCTATTCTAGCCATGAACGTGCTACCTGCCCGTGCATTGTTTCACACGATATGATTGCAAACGTGACTTTATTGAAAGTAAGCTGCAGCAAAAACTCTGATGAGGCGCTTTCAGAAGAGCGGGGCAGAGAAAATAAAAATAAAGATGACATATACATTGGGGAAAAAAGTATTTAGTCAGCCACCAATTGTGCAAGTTCTCCCACTTAAAAAGATGAGAGAGGCCTGTAATTTTCATCATATGTACACGTCAACTATGACAGACAAAATGAGGAAAAAAAATCCAGAAAATCACATTGTAGGATTTTTAATGAATTTATTTGCAAATTATGGTGGAAAATAAGTATTTGGTCAATAACAAAAGTTTCTCAATACTTTGTTATATACCCTTTGTTGGCAATGACACAGGTCAAACGTTTTCTGTAAGTCTTCACAAGGTTTTCACACACTGTTGCTGGTATTTTGGCCCATTCCTCCATGCAGATCTCCTCTAGAGCAGTGATGTTTTGGGGCTGTCGCTGGGCAAACAAACACGACGAGTTGAGTTTTTACCAAAAAGTTCTATTTTGGTTTCATCTGACCATATGACATTCTCCCAATCCTCTTCTGGATCATCCAAATGCACTCTAGCAAACTTCAGATGGGCCTGGACATGTACTGGCTTAAGCAGGGGGACACGTCTGGCACTGCAGGATTTGAGTCCCTGGCGGCATAGTGTGTCACTGATGGTAGGCTTTGTTACTTTTGTCCCAGTTCTCTGCAGGTCATTCACTAGGTCCCCCCGTGTGGTTCTGGGATTTTTGCTCACCGTTCTTGTGATCATTTTGACCCCACGGGGTGAGATCTTGCGTGGAGCCCCAGATCGAGGGAGATTATCAGTGGTCTTGTATGTCTTCCATTTCCTAATAATTGCTCCCACAGTTGATTTCTTCAAACCAAGCTGCTTACCTATTTCAGATTCAGTCTTCCCAGCCTGGTGCAGGTCTACAATTTTGTTTCTGGTGTCCTTTGACAGCTCTTTGGTCTTGGCCATAGTGGAGTTTGGAGTGTGACTGTTTGAGGTTGTGGACAGGTGTCTTTTATACTGATAACAAGTTCAAACAGGTGCCATTAATACAGGTAACGAGTGGAGGACAGAGGAGCCTCTTAAAGAAGAAGTTACAGGTCTGTGAGAGCCAGAAATCTTGCTTGTTTGTAGGTGACCAAATACTTATTTTCTACCATAATTTGCAAATAAATTCATTAAAAATCCTACAATGTGATTTTCTGGATTTTCTTTCCTCAATTTGTCATAGTTGACGTGTACCTATGATGAAAATTACAGGCCTCTCTCATCTTTTTAAGTGGGAGAATTGCACAATTGGTGGCTGACTAAATACTTTTTCCCCCCACTATATTAAACAATTTAGTTGAAAGAAAGGTGCCTCTGATAATACTGCTATCACCGTCAAGGCAGAGGACACGATGGGACGAGCCCAGAGACAGGGTAATTCCACGGTAAAAAAATTATATAAATTCAGAGCTTTCATATATGTTTGAGATATAGGACACTTCTAAACATACTTACTTATCATTACATTTTTGACTGATCTGTTTGTCCATGTATGAATCTTTTATTCAATGCGTTTCTAAGGGATAATAGCAGTAAGGCCAAATTCAATGTTTCATCAAATAATTGTTCATGATGAGTTCAGATTTGTTGTGGCCCCCACCCCCATCAAAGTTGCCCAACGCTGCTCTAGGTGGATGCAATACGCATTTCTTTAGTAAAAAGACAGATGCTGCTGATAACACTGCCGTTGTTGTCGAGGCAGAGGATATGTATTTGTAGCCTATGTATCTGATGCTGTCTGGTCAAAAAGATTATGGCATGTCATACTCTTTTTGGTCAGACCGCATCAGATACATGGGCTACATATAGTAAGACAGAGGGGCGCTGTTTCGCTCGCTCGGATGCTTTTTTCAGTGATAATTTCAGCACTTGCGAATTGAAGGAAAGTTGGCGGTGCTGGAATTATTTTGGATGAACGTGCGAAAGTAACCTACTTTTTGAAGTGATTTTTTTGACAATCCAATGAAAACATAATGACTGGTTTTGTTCATGGCACAATAAAAGGTAATACATTTTTACAGTTAAATTATGTCTTTACTATAAATCCCATAAAAATTGCATGGGGCCTCCAAATCACTAAGCCCGCACCTGCATAGCAGGTTAGGATAATTCATCTAGCAGATGTCATAACACCATGTTTTGTTTTGTATTC